TACCTTGTTCTCTTAGATATATTAAAGAGCTGTCGGCACCCGTTCTCAAAGAGTTAATCAAGCATACTAAGATACTCGTATAAGATATTTACTTGACCATCCTTTTCTTCCCTGTAAATTTGACAGCCAAAGAAAAATCGGTGACAAAACAAATTATTTCTAAGCAAGCAGATTTACGAATGACATACAGAAAAATATATTAGTTGTGGCTGGTACTCCGAAAACATATATGTCAGTTCAAATTAAATTATATTATATAGATGAATTTGTTCAAGTGCCGATTTATGCCTACATTTTCCTAAGCGTCTGRGCTATACAATCAAATTGTGGTTTTGTCTACGCTTATCCGCATTTGTAATCATTATCGCACCAAGTGGCATTGTCGCACTTCTCCAACAACTACTCTACCTTTTCATAAGTTTAGCGAGTAGCTTTGTTCAGATATTATAATAGGACAATAAGGCAGTTAGTTATATGAGAGTATGTACGAACACACTTATAAATTTGGGCCTTTAGTTAAATTATGATTGATATGTTTGAATGGACATTATTGAGGTGGAGTCGAGCAATTCGATATGCTTGAGTAAATATGGGAAAATAAGTGGGAGAGAATGTCAAGAGAGAAAGAGAAAAAGCGATAGTGACAAACCAAATATAACAGTAAAGGCAGGCACAAGCACATCGCTTGGCTGGAAGTGAAAAGGACTACGATAAAAGCGCCCTGTCATTATAGCTTCATTGCATTTTCCATATATATTTTAGTTTGTATAAGCATGTAAGGCTTTGTGGTTCACTTCATCCTACTTACCGGCCTAATATTTATTACATTTAAGTACCACATTGTGGCCTTTAATGACTTCGATTGTGTATATATTGTGTATACATTGCAATACGAGTATATCACACACAAGTGTATTTACGTGTATATATGTAGTTGTAATCACACGTACTTCTAACCCTATTGTGTTTGTAATAATATGTATCGTAAGAGTAATCTAATAATTACAGACGAGGGTCTTAAATCCTAAGTTAAGGATTATGTGTTGTATAAACTGCTACATATTTACTATATGTACTTGAGCTAAGACAGATATTCATTAAAATAACTGAACTAGTAAATTTCGAAATTCATAAGTTTGATTGGAAAGTTTTACCGCACAGCGAAATAGTACAGTCCAGATGTAGAAATAATTTAAAAACACTCTGCTATTAAAATATTTAATTATCAACACACATTATCACAGCTGAGTGAACAATTATAAGTTAGGGAAGGACTTTCGTTTTGTTGGTAGTACTATCAGTCACATTTATGTCAAATTTCATGTCAAAATAATCATTAGTGCTTGAGATACGTGTCGTTTTGTGAGCTGCTAAAAGTGAGTTTTTCGTTTTTTGCGATGTCAAAATTTGTTGAGCAAAGAATTTGCATTAAATGATAATTTCGCTAGAAACTCAACCCATATCGTTCCGCAACCACCGTATTCACCTGATATGGCGCCGTGCGACTTCTGGCCGTTCACCAAGCTCAAAAGGCCGCTCCGGGGACACCGTTTTTATACGATAGAGAAGATTCAAGCCACAGCGAAGACGTAACTGAGGGCCATCCCGGAAAGTGACACTACAACCAGTGTTTGGAAGTTTGGAAAATCCGTTGGCATAATGTACTACATCTAGTGGGGATTACTTTGACGGGGAAGTAATTGATTTGGAAGAATAAATAAAGTATTTTCAAAATAAATACAATGCTACCTTATTTTTTGGGCACAGAGTAAAATTAAATTATGATGGTTATAAAATACTGCAATTCCTTTGAGATAATTCCCGCACTAAATACTATATTATGCATATGGCATAGGAGAAATAGTACGCTGGTCAAATAATTAAAGGATTCTTAAGGAAAGAAATTTAAGGGGGAATATTTATTATCATTTCAAAGAACATTCTTTGACATTTATTCTTTGAAAATTATCTTTTTCAAATGTTTTTCGCGGCTAGGTCTGAGAGGGTTCCTCCGCTGAGTCCAATTTTCGATGACATGATCTGCTCCCGAAAAGTTCTTTCAATAAATCAGTTAATTGATGCGATGTGTAGAAAATGACGCCGTCTTGTCGAAATCAAATTTCGCTGAGATCACRAGCTTCAATTTCAGGTATCAAACAGTTGGTTRTCATAGCGCGATAAYGTTCTCACTCTCGTCATTTTGGAAGAAATATRAACGGATGATTATACTTATTACACTAAACCGTTGTTTTTCCTGGATGAATTGGAAGCACTTGAATCCCTTGAGGTTGATCTTCGTCACAAGTATGGCAAATCTGCTTGTTTACATTACCATTGAGCCAGAAATGGGCCTCGTCGCTGAAAAAAATTTGGCTCGTAAACGTCGGATTTACTTGGAACTTTTCAAGAACCCATAGATCGAAGAGATGTCTCTAGAGAAGGTCCAGCGACATCAGTTCTTAAACGAGCTGTAAATTGTACAAATACTGTTTATTTAGACGTAAAATATGCTCAGGCCCTCCATGCATCGGCCCGAGTTGTTGCGAACGGCGGCGAATCGTCTCTCCACGGTCTTCGTGTACCCTCTCATCTAAGGCTGCTATATTTTCTTCACCTATATACAGCACTATATTATCCTTCATTGCTGATCTATTCGGTCAAACATTATCCAATAATGCAGGTTGGCTCTCAATACTAAACAAAAATGTCCTGACAGCTTGACACGACTCACGGGTGATCTGTCAAAAAATAATATTGAAAAAAAGCCTTGATATTTTTTCTTCTAAATAAGCTGCTGTACGACTTTCGTGCATTTCGWTTACTCCTAACGTCCCACTCAACAAAGGTAAGTTGTCCAAAAAATGAATTGTTACTCCAAAGAACGACTCATTTTTCATTGCCTCCACGTAACGTATGTATGTCAKACGTTAGGCAGTAACTGTCGCGAATAAACTATTTGAAAATAGAAGACAGCGCTTCATATTTTTCATCCACTCGTAATTTTATTGTTTCTTTACTTAGAACTTTAAAAACAGAACCTATTTTTTCATCATCTGCAGAGATATTTTTTTTTCTACCGTGGAAAATGGCTTGTTGTAAATTGTAATATATTTCACAATTGCTTCAGTGATTTTCCTTRATTTAGGGCCCTTTTGGGAAGATCAAGATTTTGACCTGCTTAAAAAGTCTTTCACATAAGGTTGGATYAGCGCTGGCAACTGATTCGATTTATTGTGCAGCCTACTTGAAAGGTGAGTTATTAGTTTATACTTCGCGTGTTTTTCGAACCGTTAAATTTTCTGTATGCTGGTGGTACTGTTAGTRGTGTCTRTGCTAAATTTCACATCAAAATATTTACTAGTATTTGAGATATGCGTCGTTTTGTGAGCCTCTTAAAGTGAATTCTTCGATTCTTTTTAAATCTGAATTTATTGAACAAAGAAGTGCGATGGTGTATTATCTCATACTGCAGTGGTTATTCGTGATCATTTTGYYATAACTAATATTGTACCGYAACCACCGCATTCASCTGATTTCGTTCRTGTAACTACTGGCTATTCTGCAAAATTTGACTCAATTGAGGATATAAAAGCTGAATCGAAAAAKGCTCTTATGGCCATCACGACGGAKKACTTTTCCCAGTGCTTTTATGATGGAAAAACTCGTTGATATAAGTGCATTGCAGCGGGAGGGGACTACCTTGAAGGAGATGAAGTGGACAAAATTCCCTTTTCAATACAATAGTTATAGCCTTAAAATCAGGTCTAAGTTCGAAAACGWTTTTAAAGAGAAATATTGGACAGAYAGTRTCTGTGTTTAGCATCTGMCCATATTATTATCTGGATAAGATGGCAATTAAATTTCCTTATGATGTATGTTCAAACAGTTACCACACTTTCAGTAGTTTCGAAGATAATTAAAATTAAATAGTTTACGTAAGTTTGGTTGATACAGTTTGAGTAATTTGTTTGTAGAGTAGCTATTTTTGTACAAAATACTTCCAGAGAGAGGCACTTTGAAAGCAGAAATGTAAGTAAACTGGTGGAAGATTTTGACCTATTTTTTACCTTTTGTACACGTAATGGAATATGGTATATACATACATTATTATACAAATAATATTACTTTGATCCAAAACTTTTTACTAAGAAATAGTGCGGTTTAAGAAAAAAAAAGTCGATATTTACGACGACTAAGCAAAGTCGCGAACTCTGACACAGAAATATTTTGGAAATATTTCTTACATCATTATTTATTAAAATATAGCATTTTCATATACATATTTAATCTCATTWGTATACATATATTTTCAAAAGGAGTAATATCCGTTCAAGCTTGCCTTCTTCSATATGCTGATAATAGTAATTATTTTTATAAAACTATTAATTATTAATAAAATTTCGACACTTGATATTTAACACCAAACTTATTTTTTCCCTTTTACCTTCTCTCTCCTTTCGCAACTCTACACTGTCGGCTGCCGCAGGCAACGCCGTGGCAGGCAATTCGTTGGACGATAATAATCAAACACCAGTGCGTAATCCTCCGGGCGCTTTTCACAATTCAGCAAACTCACTGGCGCAACATAATCTACTTGGCGGTATAATTCTTTGGATTAAAATGCAATCATTTGGGATTTACAAGCGTTTATCGAGTTGGTGCCAAAGCAAGCGGCAACGACAACACCAACACCAACAACGCCAACCGAACGCGACAAAGCCGGAGCAAAGGCAAACACAACCACAACAGCTGGCGGCGTATCAGCAAAAAAATGGAAAACAACAYGCACAACAACAAGAGCAACACCAAATGAAAAGGCTACCCTTAAAGTATCAACCAAAAAATCATTTTGCTTCGCTTCAACGGTGCGCCACTGCGTATGAGCAATCAGCAGAACAGCGCTACAAGGGAGGACAGTCGGCGGCGGAGGCGGAGGCGGGGCGCACTTGCGGTGTGGCTGCTTACACGCAACGCGGTTGCTTACAGCAGCCATCTCAATGGCTGATAAGGCGAATTGATGCGTCGTGCGCGGCATTCGAGGACAGTGAGTTGAAAATGGAATACGAAAACGAGAAAAGTAATGAGTGGCCCAACAAAGTCAGCGGCGCACTCGAGCCTTTACACAGCCATATGCCGATGATTTTGCGGCCACTTGCGTTGACAGCGCCATTTTTACACGCCATATCGAGTGGCGTATCAGCTGCAACAACAAAAATAACAAGARGAGCCACACCTCTGCTAACGAATTTGTCGTTTGCAAAGACAATGGCGGCAAATAGCGCTGTAATTTTCACAATGCATACGCAAAAATTAGCCGAGAAAATCAACGACGTTGAAAGACTGAGCGGTGCGCGCTCTAAGGATGCGGCGGAGGGAACTGCACAAGCGATTGGTGACTTCTATAGCAGTGATAGTGGGGAAGCAAAAGACAGCAAGGATGTGAGTGAAATGCTGCATAGCTCTAGGCGAGACTCACAAATATGCGAYAACAACAGCAGCAACATTAGTCAAAATGCAAATGGAAACAGTTATGCGGGTGTGTCTACCACATGTGCGACTGAGAACGAGCGCGGTTATAAAGACATTAAGCAAGCCAAAAATGTCTGCAGCAACAATAAGCGCAGCAATAAGACAGTCTACAAAGTTTGTGCTAATTCTAGTCGTTACAGTGCGTTTGACAGCAAAACAAACGAGAACTTGCTTGTGTCACTTACCAAACTCAGTTTTGCGCTTGTGTTTGTAGCAGTTRCGCTGCTGCTGACATACGCAGACATCGCTAATGTCCTTGAGCGCTATTTACCCGAACTACTATTAGCCACATATGCAAGTCAGGTTAAAATACAAAAGCAATTACAACACAAATACGCACGAGTGCTAAATAGCCACCGAAAAATCGTGTGTAACGATGCCAACTGCAACAACAACACACCAGCAACTACAACAGCAAGAACAGCATTTCCGATTAGCTGTCAACGGTTCGGCAATGCCATAAAGATCACTTCATTCGCCCGAATAATAAAATTTCTGCGTCACGAACAATGCGTGCTGCCGAAATCGGCATCATTACCAGTACTAACCGCAACAACAACAACAGCAACACACTCACTAAGGGCAGCAACAATAAGTAGCCGCAAGAAGCCAACAATAAACCGCAACTTTGCGATGGCAGCCGCTGCGGCTGTATCCAGCACAATAAATACACCAACAACAACCACAACGAGCAGAGCATCGGTAGCGGTAAAGGTACCAAGCCTTCGTGCGCCGTATTGCGTCACAGCATTGAGATGAAATCAAATGTTTGTATGTTGTCGGCGCATAAACGGGCGGGGATGGGGTTCAGAATTTGTGGTTGAGGGCGCTGATGACTGGCAAAGAGCCTCAGCCAAGTAAGCTGTGTAGGCGCACAATAGGTACAATATTTATAATTGAATAAAAGTCACAAGTGAGCAAACGTTTACACAGTTAATCAGTACATATGCATGTACATATGTAAGCGTTACTTAACAACCTATGTACATACCATACAAAGTTGACATAAACAAAGACATAAGTCGCAAAGAGTAAATTTCAAACACGTGTGCCCATAATCAAACACACCTAAACTTACACACACTCGCATATACATATATTTATTTACATATTTACACACTCAAAAAATCAAAAGCAAGATATACATACCATGCAAAGGTACGTCTTTGGTTTCCGCTTGCGGTTGGGAAGCAAGCTGCGCTATGYGCTTACACTCTGCGGCACCTGGCGATGGGTTTACTTACAAAAGTGTTGAAGTCGTATGAAATTTGTTCCGAAAATTCACTAAGTACATGGTGAAAACAAATTCAATATGTAGCATAGTTAAAATTTTCGGATTTAATCAAAAATCACTGATCTTCGCAATTTTTGTTAATGTTTTATCTAAAACAAAAATTTCAAAAGGGAAAGGGCAGGGGATTATTAAACTGTAGGAAAGTCGCTAATGCGCTATCGCGCTATGGAAGCTTTTTAGTATTTTGAAATTTGATAAAATCGCGGCGGTTTGAACAAAAAGTATCGAATTTGGGCCTTTTATAAACGAATTTGGGCTTTTTTTATAGACGAATTTTGGCCTTTTATTTTCGTAAAAACGGTAGGAAGAAAAAAAAACCGTTAAAAATCTATCGCGCTAAGGAGCGTTTTTTTAAATTTCTCCAAATTGGAAGTAAATATTTTCAAAACTCTTCCTTTGTGAGTGTAAACCGTTTTGAAAAACACCATTCTGAGAAAAGCGCATTGAAAGATTGCAATGGGTTTGTTCCCCTCGCTGTAGCGACCGCAATATTTTGAATTTCAGTTTCAAAATTTGAGAGAGTGTTTATTACATTCGATAATGTAACAAAAAAAAAAAAAAATAGATTTTTCAAAAAAATCACTCTGAGGCGATCCCTTAACTTTTTAGAATTCGAAAAATAATTTCATAAAATCAATATCATAAAACCCCTAGTCGCTATTTCTAAAAAACTGGGAAAGACGATTTTCGTAAGCTTCTCACAAAGTGACTTTTTCATCAACAAAGTCTTCCCATAAAAAAAAAACTGGTATCATAATAATCACTTGATACCAAGCCCAACCTACAAGGTGAATGCATAAGGACTTTCCTACTAGGACTTCCGGAGCTTCTGGAGTGAACGAAATTCCTCGCTTGGGAAATTTCTTATTTCAGACGGTTCAATTGTTGTTGAATGAAGAGTTTGGTCGTAGAATATAGTAGATGATCCCCCGTTCACCTCTCCAAAAAACATGACTAACAGTTCTGGCCTAGTCACAGGTTCACCGAAATTCAACCACGACCGTTTTCACTTGACACTGTAGTGTCTCACTTTCAATAACCTGTAACCCGAACCCCCTCAAAAAATTATAATTATTGTGGCAATTTAGCAGACATGCAGATAGACATTATGAAGTATGTTCAAACAATATTGAGTTATGCAATCATGAAATCTGATAATGTTTTTTATTATAAAATATCGTCTKCAGTTGTACGTTATGATTTTAAGAAGGTCTCCCATATGAATAACTCTTTAACCACCCTGCATTTAGCAAATACACGCAGAGGAAAACGTTGGATAGCTTATAGAACATATGTATATAAAAATTATGACGGACTGTGTTATTTAGGCATATCCGTAGGTCTCCCCATCTGTCTGTATATACGCGAACTAGCTATGAGTGTGTGATATATGATCTAAAATTTTGCACACTTTCCTTCCTTTCCAAGGAGCTGCTCATTAGTTGAAACCATCGAACGCTCGGACCACTTTAGCATTTAGCTGCCCTACAAGCTGAAAAGCAAATCTCGTAGAACACAAGAGGCTACGGGAGCACCGACTCGCTCCCTTTCTACCGATAGCGGTTTGAACCATACTTTTACACGAATGCCTTTAAAGCTGTCTCTTATACACATCTAGATGTGTACACTAGTAGAACACAAGAGGCTACGGGAGCACCGACTCGCTCCCTTTCTACCGATAGCGGTTCTAGGGTGGCTTTCCTTGCTGGCTCATCAGCTTTACCATTTTCTTGCGATTACGCTTTGTCCCGGCGTCCATACCAGTCTCATCACAAAGACACTTGATGCTATCGGTAGCGAGGTTAGGCCCTGCTCGACCAACCATGATCACACTGTAAATGAGTTCAAGGTTAGTATCGCTGTTCTGCTATCTGAGTGAATGGCCACTTCTCTAAAGGAGGCCGCACTCCGGAGCAGCAGATCTACTGATAACTTGYTGGCTGTAACATCAGCTTGGAAAACACTGCAATAGTCAGGTTGCCTGAACCTTTAGTTGATAGAGAGCTCCCGACAGTAAACCTCTGCATCAACCTTCCCCCCAAGCTTTGACCCATCCGTATAGAAGATCACTGCCCCTCTCCTCCAACGGCTACTCCCTCGTCTGTGTATGGGCAAAGAAGAAGCCGGTAGAGTTCGGTTTGGCGATGAAGTGTGTGAGGATATCCGAGTGTTCGGATATGTGTTCTTCTAGGTACTCAGATTCTCTGAGTCTAATGCCACTTTCGCTGGCATACACCTTCCGGCGAAGTCTACGGACCCTTTGTTCAAAATAGCGTCAAGTGCCATGGTTCGCGTGGACCGTAGTGTAGCACACATGATGAGCGCCCCTCGTTAGACGCTATCGAGTTTCTTCGCAAGCGTGGTCTTATCTAGAGCCCTCCACCACATATATGAAAACACTGTAGAATATAATGAGCTTTACTATGGTAGCATAGAGTCAGAATACCACTTTCGGTGAGAGACCCCACCCCTTGTCAATTGCTCCTCTAGGTAGGTGAAAGGTATTAACTTTTTTCTGTTTTTTATAAAGCTAAGCACAAATAAGTTTTGAAAATTATTATCCAAAGTTCTTGTAAAATTAAATAAAAGGAGAAGGGTTCCCAGACTAGTGTCTTCTTTTTTCGTAGAGTGTACCATGATTGTTTTACTTAGTCATATATTAGGGAGGATAGCAATAACATGGACTATTTCTAAAAGTTTTGAATGGTGTATTGATCTCTTCTCCATAGTTATTAACATACAAAAAATCACTACATTTTAAGTAGGGATGATAAATTTATTTAAACATATAATTTATCTAGCATTTTCTACCATCAAAAAAAAAAAAAAAAAAATCGTACCTCGAAGATCTTTAACCAACCATATGTCTTTCAAAAAACATAATTAGTGAAATAATATGTAATCCTTATGTTTCCAAATCACCCTAATGTAGTAAAAAACCCGAATACGCCATCAAGTTCAGCAACAACAAGAAAACGAAATTGTCGCGAAATTGTAAACCAACAAACAAGAAAATCGAGACGCTAAAAAGCATAAAAAGAACATGTAAATAATAGGAAAATTATACCGTAACGAGAACCGCGGAAAATTGCAAAACACGCAGCACTCACATATCCTTGGATCAAACGTTTATTGCCGCAATAAATAAATGGGAGAGCGAAGCCACGGGAACAACCGGCATAATTTACTTTCAGCAGCAAAAATCGGTTAATACTGATATGCATACATACTCATAAACACAAACTCATATGCACACATACACATGCAAACATTTAGAAACTCGTACATGCATTTGTGGGCACACACTTCAGTAAGGACTTCCGCAAACCGACAGTTAAATACACTCGTACTAAGTACACTCGCTTCGGTTGTTGGAAAATGTTGATTTCGCCGAGATTTAATGAATGCTACAATCGCACAGATTTACATGGAAATGAGTGGGTTTGCAGGCGAAAGCATTATAAGTGTGTGGGAGTTTTGATTGCTTGATTTCATGATTGCAATGCTTTGTATGGCTAATGAATGAGTATCGAAAACGATGCCTTGATTGCGTAGATAAAAGAAAGAAATATACACGTGGGCGTGATAGGCGTGCGGAAATGTGTGCAAAGGTGCTGCAAGTAAGGAAAATAAAAATAATCTCTTTTTTGTGAAATTACTTTACGCAGTCGCTGAGCTTTTCATGAGGAAGCCTTATGACATCAAAAGATCTTTTACAAATAATTAAGCAATTTTTTTACAAACAATGAAAGAACCAACATTTTTCAAAGCATATTTTTTTTTATTTTAAATTGTTTTGGCATTAACAAATGTTTCTTCCTCCAAAGCTTTCGATCATTGGACGACAGACTTACACATTTAAAAGATTTATTTAATGAAAGTGTAAACATATAGATAAGCACTTAGCTGTCCCAGTTGAACGTTTTACTACATAGTCTCTACCTTTTTTACTTCAAGAATATGAATTATTGGCTTAGAATGAATTTGGTTAGAGCTGGAATTCTTTAACACCTTTTTCTAATTTGACTGACAACGTTAAAYTACATTTAGCCTCGCCAAATCTTAACTAGCGATAGATCACCACATTTAGAACGTATATAACTTTTTATACATAAAAATAACA